AAAGAAGGATCCCAGTCCTAGTGTCCTGGGCCCCTGAGGCTGGCTGAGGCCCCTGTCCCGGGCCCCTGAGGCTGGCTGAGACCCCTGTCCCGGGCCCCTGAGGCTGGCTGAGGCCCCCGGCCCAAGGTGTCCCAGGCCCCTGAGGCTGGCTGAGACCCCTAGCCCGAGATGTCCTGGGCCCCTGAGGCTGGCTGAGGCCTCAGCTTGCTGTAGGGCTGCCATGTTGTTCCCCTGCACCACCCACCACATGGAGACAGCAGGAGCCCATCACAGGCCTGCCTGACCCATGCAGGGACGGTGCTCGATGACGTCGGCCAGACCGGCTGTGTCCCTGCGTCACAGTGTGCCTGCGTCTACAACGGCACTGCCTATGCCCCGGGGGCCACCTACTCCACAGACTGCACCAACTGGTAGGTCCCGGCCCCCCTCCAGGCCCCCAGGATGTGCTATGGGACGGACCCGCTGGGGGCTGTGACCCAGGCTGGCAGGCGTCCCTCATCCGGGCTGTGACGTAGGCAGGCCTGGGTGAGACCCGGTCAGCCTCCTGACACGGAGGCTGGAGGCTGGTCTCCTGGGGCCAGCAACCACACGGCACCGTCTCTTGCTCTCAGCACCTGCTCCGGAGGCCGGTGGAGCTGCCAGGAGGTTCCATGCCCGGGTACCTGCTCTGTGCTTGGAGGTGCCCACTTCTCGACGTTTGACGAGAGGCACTACACGGTGCACGGGGACTGCGGCTATGTGTTGACCAAGGTAGGCACTGGCTGCCTGGGGTGCTCGCCGGACAAAGGGGGCCCACGACCAGCCTCCCACAGGCTCCCGCAGCTTGGCTGCATGTCACTGCTGCCCCTGGGGTGACCCTTGGGGGTCCCTGATGGTGAGACCTCAAGGAAGCACCCCAGCTCCCCAGCACTGGGCCCCACAGGGGCACGAAGGCTGCAGACCACACCTAGGGCTGGGCCCCACAGGGGCATGAAGGCTGCAGATCAGAGCCTCCAGCCCCACCCAGCACTGGGCCCTCCACACCTTGGGCTATTTATTTAAGACTTTACTGTTGAGAATAGTTTCAGGTTTACAAAGAAATTGAGCCCAAAGTACTCCCGCTCCAACACAAAGCCTCCCCAGATGATACCCAGCACCCAGTATACAGTCTCCCCAAGATGAGACCCTGCCTTGGGGTAGAGCCTGCACTGGCGCCCTCACCTCCCAGGTCACTGGCGCCCTCACCTCCCAGGTCACGGTTGACATCGGGGCCCCTTGTGGTGGTGAAATTCCGCAGCTTCGGACAGACGTGCAGTGTCCTGTTCCTGCCAGGCAGTTTCACGCAGTCGGCTCCACTGCCCTCAAACCCCTTGGAGCTCGGCCTCCTCACCCCTCCCTCACCCAGCCCCTGCCATCCACTGGCATTTGTGCCTTCTGAGAGCTGTCCTTCCCAGTGGGTCCTGTGGTTGGCGTCGCAGAGTGTGGCCTCCCCACAGTGCATGCAGATTTCTCTGTGTGCCTCGGTGTCCACACCTGGCGGCCTCCTAGCACACCTCCCTCTCGGGGGCTGGGATGTTGGAGTGGGGGTTTCTAGTGAGGGAGAGGAGAGGAGCACAGCCGGGTGGAGGGGCAGAGCCAGGCGGGTTGGGCGCTGGGCGGAGCGTGAGGACCCCTGGTGTGTCCGGTTCTGCAGCCCTGTGACAGCAGTGCCTTCACTGTACTGGCTGAGCTGCGCAGGTGTGGGCTGACGGACAGCGAGACCTGCCTGAAGAGCGTGACACTGAGCCTGGACGGGGCGCAGACGGTGAGTGGAGCCTGGCAGGGCAAACCCTGGGAAGGGGGGAAGGGGCCTGTCTCTTCTACAAGTCACCTCTGCCCAAGCCCTTCGTCCTCGGCGTGAACAGCGGGAGGCGGGGATCCTCCGGCAACACCGGCTGCATCCATTACTTATGGGTCCACGTGACTGTCCCTAAAGGAGCAGCTCAGGGCCGGGCCGCCCGGGCCGCCATACCCGACCCGAGGGGCCCCGGGAAGGAGGGACTGGGTGCATCTGCCGCCAGCTTGGCTTCTCCGCTGAAGTCAGTTTACGTTTAGTGAATAACTTTGGTTTTTACTAAAGAATAAAAAGCATGGTCCTCACAGAAAACTCAGAAAATCAGGGCGAGCACAAAACCACCTTGTAGGACCCACAGCCACAGGTAAAGGCCTCCCAGGCACCTGCAGGCAATTTCACAGCCTCCGCGGGGCTGATTGGGCGAGCCTGCCCTGCGCTCACACGTCTGTCTGGCGGCCCTCAGGTGGTGGTGATCAAGGCCAGCGGGGAAGTGTTCCTGAACCAGATCTACACCCAGCTGCCCATCTCTGCAGGTGAGGGCGGCGGCCTCCTCCCCACCCCCGGGCTGCCTGGGGTCCCGCCCCACACCCCCAGCAAAACCCTTGTCCTTTGTGTCCCCAGCCAACGTCACCATCTTCAGACCTTCGACCTTCTTCATCATCGCCCAGACCAACCTGGGCCTGCAGCTGGACCTGCAGCTGGTACCCACCATGCAGCTGTTCGTGCGGCTGGCGCCCAAGCTCCGAGGGCAGACCTGCGGTAAGAGGGGCGCCTTCGGGGCCTGGAGCCCACCCACTCTGGCCGGGACACATGATCCTCACCCTGCCTAACCCACCCCCAGGTCTCTGTGGGAACTTCAACAGCATCCAGGCCGATGACTTCCGGACCCTCAGTGGGGTGGTGGAGGCCACGGCCGCAGCCTTCTTCAACACCTTCAAGACCCAGGCCGCCTGTCCCAACATCAGGAACAGCTTCGAAGACCCCTGCTCCCTGAGTGTGGAGAACGGTACGTGTGTCCGTTCAGCTCGCCTTTGTGCTGGCGCCTGGCGCTGGTTCTCCCGCTTCCATTTGGCACTGCAGGCAGCGTGGAGGCTGGCCCTACGTGTGCCTGTGAGCCAGGTGGGGTGGCTCACGAAGGGGCCCAAGGACAGGCTCATGGTGGGTGCCTCGCCTGGCTTATATGGAGTTTCAGGAATGTGGGGCACCTGCTTCAGGGTCAAAGAAAGGGTGCAAGTCTCTGTTGGTCGATATCGGCCCTGACCGCCTACCCCTGCACAGGGTGGGGTGGTGGGGACGTGGGGAATGGATTCACCCACTCACTCACCCATTCACCCACTCACTCACCCACTCACTCATTCACCCACTCACCCACTCACCCACTCACCTACTCACTCACTCACCCACTCACCTACTCACTCACTCATCCACTCACTCACTCACCCACTCATTCACCTACTCACCCACTCAACCATTCACTAATTCACTCACCCATTCACCCATTCACCCAGTCACCCACTCACTCACCCACTCACTCACCCATTCACCCATTTACCCACTCACTCACCCACTCACTCACCCATTCACCCATTCACTCACTCACCCATTCACCCACTCACTCACCCACTCACTCACCCATTCACCCATTTACCCACTCACCTACTCACTCACTCACCCATTCACCCACTCACTCACTCACCCATTCACCCACTCACTCACCCACTCACTCACCCATTCACCCATTCACTCACTCACCCATTCACCCACTCACTCACCCACTCACTCATTCACCCACTCACCCACTCACCCACTCACTCACTCATCCACTCACTCACCTACTCACCCACTCAACCATTCACTCACTCACCCATTCACCCACTCACCTACTCACTCATCCACTCACCCACCCGCTCACTTACTCGCTCACTCACTCAGTCATTCACTCCGCCTTCGGAGCTCGGGCGCCAGCGTGGGGAAGTGGGATCCTATCTCGCTGGCTCTGGCCTGCTTCCTGCAGCCTGGGAAGCCTGGGTCCAGTGAGCCCAGTGGAGGGGCCAGAAGGGCCTCAGTTTGTCTGTCCAGAGTGGTGGTCACTAGCATCCCTGGAAGGCGGCACCGTGAGAGGCTGTGAGGGGCTGGGTGGGACATGCAGGAAACGAGAGGGCGTTGTACCCTGCGCTTGGGGGAGCTTTCCCTCGGGGAGGGCACCGCACCACCCGGGCTGAGTGTGTAGCAGGATGAAGGGCCCAACGTCAGACTGCCCAGAGAAGCTGGCGCCCCAAACCCCACACCAGGGGCCAAGCTGGGTGGGATGAGTGTGCTGCCTGATCCTAATCCTAACCCTAACCCTCCTCTGTCCACAGAGAAGTATGCTCAGCACTGGTGCTCGCAGCTGACCGATGCCAACGGCCCCTTCAGCCGGTGCCACGCTGCTGTGAAGCCGGACACCTACTACTCGGTAGCATCTGCCGCCTCTTGGCCCAGTGGGGCTCTGGCCACTGAGCCTCACAGCTGCCTCCAGGAGGGCTGGGAGGGCGCTGGGGGGGCTCGGCAGTCAGTACCAACCTTTCTAGGCTGTGATGGGCACCGGGGGCTGGGACCCAGCCTGTCTGTCCAGCTCCATTCCCCACGTCCCCACCCCCCCCATTCACTCATTCATACATTCACCACTCACCCACTCACCCATCCATTCACCCACTCACTCACCCGTTCACCTGTTCACCCATCCACTCACTCACCCATTCATCCATTTACCCACTCACCCATTCACTCACTCACCCACTCACCCATTCACTCACCCACTCATCCATTCACTCACTCACCC